GAAGAGGAACATTAGGGAACAATCTGACAATATCAAAATAAACCATCAGCTCGTTCATCGAACACAAATCGGAATGTCTTATAAATTGATTGGTTTGGTTTGGTTTAGTTTACGGCATATCAACCTCAATGGGTTATTTAATGCCGATAAGATTTTTATTGCTGGTAACTTTTTTTTTCGACAATGTATTGCTGGTAATTTTGTTTTTAAATGTATAGCTGAATCTCCAACTAATTGCCGAGGCAAGCCCCAGATATATCCTGCGTTCACTATATATAGCTACTGATATAATCAGTCCACATAGGCGATAGGGACATTCAATTAGAACATAATGAATACGTCACAAAGAAAGCCCCGTTCAATAGGAAGAAACGAATATTCACATGCAAGGTCAAGCAATTTTCTCTTGTATGACGACAATCTATCAGTTGAGGTAGGTTTATGTAAATTTAGCTTAGAAAAAATTAATGCAAACACTCCAAACATCTGTTCCTTACCAAAATCTCAGCAGGAGGAAAACAAAAATCCAAAACTCTCGAAAAAAAATAAATGTTCAACCTCTGTAAATATGACACCAGAGAAATGGAACAAATGTTTTTACAAATCCTGATTTTCCGAACAATATCTCTTATATAAGACAGTTCAAGTATGTTCGTTTTTTCAAATTAACACGATATACAAAAAATAAACGTTCTAATGACAAGTAGCGGGAAAACCAGAAAAAGTTATAAAATGATAAAAACTGAAAAAGGTCATAAAATGATAAAACCTGAAAAAAGTCATCATATATTAAAACCGGAAAAAGTCATAGAATGATAAAACAGGAAAAAGTCATAGAATGATAAAAGCTGAAAAAATGTCATAAAATGATAAAACCTGAAAATGTCATCATATATTAAGAGCTGAAAAATGTCATAAAATGATGACACCGGATAAAGTCATAGAATGATAAAACCCCCAAAAAAGTCATCATATGATAAAAACTGAAAAAAGTCATAAAATGATAAAACCGGAAAATAGTCATAAAATGATAAAATCGGAAAGTCATAGATAATAAAACCGAAAAAAAGTCATAGAATGATAAAATGTCCCTAACATCAACAAGAGAAGCAAGCAAGAATCATGCCAATTTCAAAGCTTTTCAAATTCATGGTTAATAAATGTTCGTTCAATGAAAATACAGGGCCCAATTTTGATACTGAGAAAGCGATGTCTAATAAAAGACAGAACCACATTGTAACACAGACAAGATTGTAGAAAATTGTTTCTTGGTCCGAATTGAATTCAGCTTATGTCAGAGGCGCGCAGTATGATTAAGCTCATTGACACAACGATTATGTGGTATCTACCGCGTATATATTTAAAGAAGAATTTTTATTTTACACTTTATCATTCAATGATTCAATTTGTCAATCTGCAAAATATATTTAAAAAATGAGAAAAAAGCGAAATATTTTAAAAAAAAAAATATAAATAAAAAAACAAAATAAAATCTACATGAAATATTCTAGATTAGACTTTGGTCAAATTTTTTTTATTTGAAATTGGGTTTGATTTTGGTGTTTGCTTTTGATGTTGGTTATACTTTGGTGTTGGCGTTTGATGTTGGTTATACCATCTAAAAATAATTATATATATATATATATATATATATATATATATATATATATATAATTTATTTGTTTAAAAATTATTTTAAGCACTATTCGAAGTTTGTTTGATCAGGTGGTCATACGTGGCCGAACGGTCAGGATTTATCATCCTACGTGGCCGAGCACGTCAAAACTAATGACGCTTTACCCTAGGCGCCGCATGGTCGAATCCTGCCGGATGGCTTATATTTTTCTAACAAGATTTCTCGAAATATTCAGGGCGGTAGCTGAAAATAAATAAACATATTGTTTAATAAATAAATGAAAACAGAGCACCTACTCAAATATGAGTATCCATTTAAAATAACGTTTAAGCAAATAAATTAAAAAATAAGTCGGATTTAATCCATTTCCCAAATATATACATACATACATATATATATATATATATATATATATATATATATATAAGAAAAAGCAGATATTTTTATATATAGTGCTCAATATTAACAGTATTAAAATGAAATAAAAATAGAGTTAATAATATTATACGAAAAGATTACTTAACATTTAAATATCAATTTTATCCTGACATCGATGTTTCTTGATAAATGGTTTTTAATGGTATTTTATTTTATCGCCCTGCCATGTTTTTCAAATTGAAAAAAGTAAATGCCGTTTAAAACCTGATATAATGGAATATGCATACACCTGTGTTCCCCCTCACTGGAATATGATTGGCTGGTGTCCGTCATAAATAACGACGGAGGAGTAGGAGAGTCAAGAGAGCCTTAGTCTCAGAGCCTAAGTCTATAACGACGCCCATTGGACTACGCCATTGATCTACACTTCTTACCTGCGACTACGCCCCTTTCCAGTCAATTACTGCTAGCGTATTCTACTTGGTTACAGTAGCCAAAACCACTTAGCTACTTCGTTCAAATATATCCCTTTCCGGAACATACTAAAACCATTTCGGGATAAAATTGGTATTTAAAAGTTAAGTAATCTTTTCACATATATATATATATATATATATATATATATATATATATATATATATATATATATGATAAAATATAGTTTCAAGGTATGCTATATTTGGGGTTAAAGTACTTAATATCAGGGATAGAGCGTATGTAAATATAAAAGTGGACACTGGAGTCAGTACTCAGAGGCGACAGTGTGTTTTTATGCTAAACGCAATCGCACTGCCATATATATGTGTGTGTCTGTGTGTATGTATGTATGTGTGCGTGCATATATGTGTATGTACGTGCGCGCGTGTGCGTGTGTATGTGTTAGCGCGGACATCAGTCATTACAAACATGCACTAAATATTGCTGATATACCTGGTCTAGTGTTTTTGCTGTGTATTTGGAGATTCTTAATACAAAACAAAAAAGAATCTGCAATGTTATTGGCCCTGACCTGACATCTCAGCTTCAGGGCTTTTCCCACGTTCGTAACATAGCTTCCCTGCGCCTTTTCTATAAATAATTTCATGGTAATTGTTCGGCGAACTTTTCCTCCTCTATCTATCTATCTATCTATCTATCTATCTATCTATCTATCTATCTTGCTTCCTCCTTATTTTCGTCTAGTTATCACTCACTTTCCACCTATCTATATGTCTATCTCATTTTCGCCTTATCCTTCCACATTTATATAAAGACACGTATGTATAAGCGCTATCAGACCCACACATGATCTCCCTTATATTCGAGTAAAAATGGAAATAGTTGTACATATATGAAATCCTAGAGGTGACAAACAGATGATAGATAGAGTCGTAAATATAGACGGAAAAACAGGTTATCGGTCATTGGGCAAACGAAATAAGAATTTTCAAAAAAGCAAAGAACAGAAAAGATAGAAAGGTCAAAAGGGACGCATATTCCTCACCTCACTCCTCATATATATATATATATATATATATATATATATTATATATATTAGGCATTTAAAACAACATGCCTGGCTGCACACACAATTCCGTAAAATCCTTGTCGAAAACACAATTATACTTAAACATGAAAACAATAAACAAAAACTAAAATCCTTGAAGCTGTATACATCAAACAGTTGAAACCTAACCTAAACAAAATCAACTATGGAATCTCTACAAATATTCTTAAATGTCTATAACTGGTAACAGAAGTCATTGGTTTATACCACTGGATTCCCATACTTAATACTTCTCGAATTCACTCTCGCGTGGTCATGTGTGACGTCATGAGCTGCGGTGCGATTTTCGCTTCTAGCGTCTTATATGCACGTGTTTATCGTTGCTTGGAAATCATCCATGTAAACAATCACAGACTATCATCACTGTCTTGTCCGTATATTGCTTAATATATTGTACAGTAATTTACATCTTTGATAATGGCTTATGTAAGCCGAAAGCTTAGATTGGATTAAAAAATATGTATCAATACTGTGATTTTCTTTTTTCGTTTAATGATAATGTTATTAAGCTTATCAGACGTTATGAAAAGAATTTACATAAAATAAATAGACAACACTTGTCTATATTATTTAATGAAACAGGTATGAATATATATATATATATATATATATATATATATATATATATATATATATATGGTGACGATTTAGAACTTCATAGAGACTTTAAAGTATTATGGTCAGTAATTATGGCTAGGTAAGTTTATGATAAGACAAATTAAAGGCTAGTCTCCCCTTTAACCCTTTTTAGCCTTGTTTCACATTTTTGTATTACTCATCAAAATAAATATTACTTTGCTCTATGGTAGCCAAACTTTAAGAATTTAAGCGCGGTACTAGATTCTCGGCAAGATTTAATTATCTTACAATAGAAATGTCTAGAGGTAACCGTAAGTTCTATGTTAACAGTTTCTTCTCTCGCACTTCTCGCTTGTGGAACTCCCTTCCGGCTTCTTGCTTTCTAGTAAAGTTTGATCTTCAAAAATTTAAATGCAATGTCAACATATTCTGTCTTCATTATTTCAGTTCATTTATTGTTCTCTATATTTAATAATGTTTTTCTCGTATCTTCTTACACTCAGTGAACCCTTGCGTCTTAGAGGCTTTATTGCCTTGCTCGCCTTATTGTTTTAGATTGTACGAAATCCAACTGATACTGGGCAAAATCGTATGGAAGGCAAAGTAAGAAACAAGTTCTCAATAAACAGCAAGATCACCATTAACATCTTAATTCTGAAAAAAAAATGATGTTTTCTTCCATAAATTTTATTAACACTTTTATTCCTTGCCATAATGACAGCGAAGGAATTTGGTTTGTGCCATTGAGCATTCTGTTTCCTCATAGACTTGGCATAGCTGCTCAAGATACCATTATCTTGAAAGCAGAGAGAATCAAATTAATATACAGGACATCTATCCCAGTATCGGCACCATCTAATCTCAGTCGTGGGAAGGTGAGAGAAAAAATATTTTGCAAAACACACCATGAGAGAGACAGGCTGGAAGTGAGAGAGAAAATGAGAAAGAAAGAAAGAAAGAAAGAAAGAAAAGGCAAAGAAAGAGAGATTGAGAGAGAGAGAGAGAGATTGTGAGAGAGCAAGAGAACTCAGATTAAAATAAGAGATAAAAAAATAAAGCAGGACCTGTATGATTGCGTAAAAGAAAAAGAAAGAAAGAGAGAATGAAAGAAAGAGAAAGTGAGAGAAAGAACTCAGATTAGAAAGAGTGAGAAAAGGAAAGCGATGCCTAAATTGATATATTCTCTTTAAGATTGCGTAAAAGAAAAAGAGAGAAAGTGAAAAGCGGGTGGAAGAAAAAAAGAGAGAAAGAAAAAAGGAAGTGAGAAAGAAAAAAGAAAGAGATGGAGTTTGAGAGAGAGACAAAGAAAGAAAGAAAGAAAGAAAGAAAGAAAGAAAGAAAGAAAGAAAGAGAGAGCGATAGAGAACTCAGATTAGAACAAGTGACAAAAATGAGGCAAGACCTAAATTATTATATTCCCTGTATGCATACGTAAAAGAAAAAAAAACACGCTGCTCCAATTTGCACTTGATCTTTCCTGAAGATAATGCTATCTCCGTAGTAACATCTTCTTAAGCTACTGCTGTGTTTGAATAAAAACAAACAGGCCATCTTTTTTACCACGCCTTAGTTATGCATAACACAAAAAAAAATCTACCCTCAACAGTGACTCGATTAATAAAGACGTGATAAAAATTAAGTAGGAAATGAACATTAAAGAACGGAGTAAGATTATCGCACCTTGTTCTTGGAACATCCTTTTTATATCATACACGAGAACTGATTGACTAATTATGTCTCTTACCGCGTGGCGTCGCTAATAGCAATATATTTGAATAAGTAACTCTTAGTATATAAAACACTGTTCAAATGTGCTTTGTGTCAGTTCAAACGCACTTCACGTGAAACGTTCTGTGTAATTAGGACAGTGAAAGTCTTAGCTCGCAGCCTTATAAAATTTATAATTGAATAATTGCAATTTGTTGGTTTGAAATTAAAAGGGGTGATCAATTGCATAACCTACCAATGTATGTCTTCAATATAATCCAGGGAATAAAGTTATAGGCGACCGAAATACAAAATAATATTTTCTGGAAGTAAAGTGAAAGCAATGTACAGTATTTTTTTTTAATGCAGTATTTTGCTTCCAGAAAATATTCCAAAGAATATTTTCTGGAAGTAAAGTGAAAGCAATGTACGGCATTTTTTTAATGCAGTATTTTGCTTCCAGAAAATATTCTTTTGAATATTTTCTGGAAGTAAAGTGAAAGCAATGTACGGTATTTTTTTTAATGCAGTATTTTGTATTTCGGTCGCTCAATGATGAAATTAGATGAATTGAAAGTGATAGAAGCAGCTATAAAACATCGTCCTGTCGAGAAATAAACATTTCTTCGTACTTAATTAGTTATGTCAATCTGCAAGAATAATTTTAAAATTTCATTCAAATTACATTATAAAATTATGTATGTATGCGTAAATTTTCCAATAAAAATATTTTTCTTTGTTTCAGAAGTAGCGAGCCGTTCATCAACTTTGAAGCGGTCGTTTCAGAGTTGATGAACGTAATTTTTGTAATTTCCTTCACTGGTTAAATTTTAACCAAATTAACTTTTCACAAAATGGAGTATGTTAACCTGCCTTTGGAGAAGATTTTTTTTTCAAATAATGAACTTTAAGAGATTTTAATGAATTAAATTGCCGAATTTACCTACACATTCGTAAGGTGTGGAAAAAGCAATTAAATTAACTACTGAAGCTTCACAAATTGTATATGAACAAGAAGTAAGGCCCAATCACATTATTACTAAATCATTGTGCCATCAAAAAAATCTCCTACCACGTTGCGTCGCTAATAGTAGACCGATTGATTGATTGCTTTGTTTGTTTTGTTTTGTTTTGATTTTTTATCAACCCTTTGCGGGCGTATTTGAAGCCTAAACTGATTTTGGATTATAAGAATAATTCATTTTGAGAGTGAATATTCCAGTATTTAAAAAAAAAATAACTATAATTTCTATATACAAATTATACTATTTAACCCATAGCTGGAGAAGAGATGGATTTGTACCATTCCTAATAAGTAAATATAACGAACCCAACTGGAATTCGAACAAGGCTCCCCTCAAATAGTGGAAAGGGAAGTATATTTTAACATGTCATTGGTATTATATAAAATACTGTTCATAGGTGCTCCGTGTGAGTTCACTGTGTGGCGGCATTGAGTAATATATTCATTGATAAAAAATGTCTCCTAGCGCTAATAGTGGACCGATTGATTGATTGCTTTGTTTCTTTTACATCCAAGGGGAAGTTTATACGAAAAAATTTAGCTATAGAATGATGTAATATGTTATACAAGGCAGTAGTTTTACTACGATTTTCAATAAACAATTAAAATTTAAAACATTTTTCTCATAATTTGTGACCAGCAGTATTATATATATATATATATATATATATATATATATATATATATATATATATATATATATATATAATGTTTTCTTTTATTATGACCTAACAAGTGATGCAATATCTTATTCATTGATTAGCCTTTTTTATCATCATTTACAATTTTTACAGTTTTCCCTTATTGAATACAGTAAAAAAAAAACTGCCTATTTTGCTTGCTGTGATTCGTAATTAGAATTCTGGTTTTAATATATGTACCATTCAGTTTATCTAATACAAAAAAGATCAACTTTATTTTGATTTATTCTTGAAGTAGTAATTTTTTTAAAGTCAGTTTGAAAGCCAAAACCTGTGGAAATTAGATATTTCAGTTTTTCTTTCAAATGAAATGCTCAAGAATTGGTAAAAATTATGAATCGAATTCTTAAAGACAGTACTTATCACATCAAATGCTAGCTTTCACATCGAGTGGAATGTTGATTTTATTAAAAAAAAAATGGTCAAAATAAACCTGCTTTACTATGTGACGTCATTGAATATGTGGGATTGATAGTTAAGAAATGTCTCCTCGCGCACTGTTTTGCTAATGGCGGAGAGAGCGATGTTTTTTAACATATAATTGGCTGTATATAGAATGCTGCTCATATGTGTTTTGTGTTTATTTGCTCTGTTGTGGCATTGGGTAATATGTGGATTGATTGATAAAAGAGTCTCCTGCCGTGTGGCGTTACGAATAGTGAAGATACAAAATATAACTGGATATGTATTCAGTACCATGCAAAGTCCTGTTCAAACATATTTCGTGTCAATTTGCTGTGTGACGGATAGATAAGAAATAGCATCCATTGCGTGGCGTTGCTAATAGTAGCGATAGAAGTGTGTTTAAACAATTAATTAATACAAATTTTTTGTAACCTAGGAAAGGTTACTGAATAGAATAACCAAACGAAGCTTAATAATGAACGATAATACTTAGGAAAAGAACAACACATATAAGATTCGCTAGCGGCACTTAGAATAAGTAGTCAACTGGTAGAAGTGAGTCAAGTGAATTCCACAATGAATCTCCAACCGTCTCACTCGGTCAGATATGGCACAAGGCCGAATTTAATGTGGGCTGTCAGAGCCCGTAGTCTCGAACAAAAATTCGCAGTAGACCACGTATAAAAAAGGGGTCGAGTAGCTGTTTCCCGAGATGATACTCTGCCCTTCGATATAGCCTCGTCTGGGGATCTTCTCTGCACGGGGGCAGAGAGTTTGATGGAGACGAATCTCCAACTGCAGATCAGATGTGGTAGAAGGCCGAAATTAATGTGGGGTATCCGAGACCGTAGGCTTGGCCAAAAATTCCCCATATACCCCGTATAAAACGGGGTCGGGTGGCTGTTTCCCGAGACGAGATTCTGCCCTTCGACATAGCCTCGTCTGGAGATCCTCTCTGCCCGGAGGCAGAAAGTTTGACCGGCACAGCTGGAGACGAATCTCCAACTACAGACCAACATACAGTATATACATTATCGCCCATAGGTATGCTACAACAAAAATAATGTTGAACCATGGTTCATGTCAATTCGTTTTGTGGAGGCATTGAGTAATATGTGCACTGATAAAGGAAGGTGCCAGGCGCTTCACAAGGATAATGGATAATTTGAATAGATTTTATAGTTTATCAACTTTTTGTGAGTTATTTAAAGTCAAAAGATATTTAGGATTGTAAGAATATTTTTTGTGAGGGAATAATTAATTTACTATTTTATGGGTAACAAAGATTTTTTCCAAGGAAATGTTTGAGTAAATGTGTACAAAGAAAATGAAGGCTAAAAAGAGATTTGTTTATCGAATTGGAGACTAAATTTCCTTTATTTTGACATCAGTTTCATTAGTCTATCTAGTTTAAAACTTGTTTTATAGGATTGGAGACCTTACTTATCAATGAACCCCCGTAATTTTAAAGATAAATAAATTTCCTTCATTTTGATACCAGTTTCATTATTCTATCTAGTTTAAAACTTGTTTTATAGAATTGGAGACCTTATTTATCAATGAACCATCATAATTTTGAAGAAAAATATATTTCATTTTGTTTGCAGTTTCATTATACTATCTGGTCTAAAATTTGTTTTATAGGATTGGAGACCTTACTTATCAATCAACTCTCATTAATTTGAGAGGGAAATAAATTTCCTACATTTTAATACCAGTTTCATAATGCTATCGGGTCGAAATCTTGTTTTATAATATTAGAGACCTTACTTATCAATCAACCCCCGTAATTTTTAGAAGATATAAATTTCCTTCATTTCATCCTAGTTTTTTTTTAGTTATTCTTTTTTTTTAGTTATTCTCATTTAATTTGTAATTAAAAACCTTAATTGTCACATATACTACTGCCCAGATCGTTTACAGGCAAAATCAGTACAACAATCTCTTGGTCGCTCGATTTCTCTAAAATTTGGGTGTCACCACGCAGTTTCTTTATGTTCAAAAGTAAAACAGTGTTTATAGTATAATAGGATAGATAGATAGATAGATAGATAGATAGATAGATAGATAGATAGATAGATAGATAGATATGAGCCTATTGTGTACGCCTTTGCCCTGCACTTTGATAAACAAATGTACATCCGTCAAAGAGATTTGATATATTTAAGGAGAAAGAAATGGGACAGATCTATGGTATAAGAATAAACAGATTCCACGTAAAGAAACGTTAAATGAGACACAAGAATCTCACTTGCAGCAACGTAGGAAAGAAATATATTACCACAGATGCCCTGGTAAATATTGAAATCTTTCCAATTCCATTGCTTCGTGACTGCTGGAAATTTGTCGTTTCGATTATCGCTCTATATTTCAACTCTTTTACTCTTGAATATCTTCCGACCAACGTTCTTTTATGGTCGCTTAACTTTCCTACATCAATGAATTTTTAGGGTAACAAGTTACATTCTGATAAACTGTATTGATATCGACTTACAAAGCTGATCTTAGAAATATATGAGGAGATAGAAGACTATGGTACTTGACTCATTTTGGGCGAAGAAATGAAAGTCACCAGATATGAACGATCAAGTAAAACGTATTTTCTTGTTATCGATTATTTATATATTCCAGGATTGACAGATAAATAAGACCTCTAATTGTGCGCAAGAAGATTTAGAAAGGTTATCATCATTAAATTGGTGTCAAATTGTATTTCACTTTAAAACTATCAGAGTTGATTGATAGCTAATGTCTCTCTAATATAATAAAACTATTTTAGACCATTATTTACATTATTCGGACTATTGTCCCCATCTTTATTGCCATATTTATTACAACATTTCGGCCGTTGTACGCTCCGGCCTTCTTCAGAATCGTTGTAATAAATGTGGCGACAAAGATGAGGACAACAGTCCGCATAATGTAAATAGTGTACATAATACCTCATCTCAGAAGTATAGACAGATATTTCAGACCACATAGAATAATGAAATTGGTAATGAAGTAAATATTTCTATCATAAAATTTTGTAACCATTTTTTAATTAAATTACGAGGGTCGAATGGTAAGTAAGGTTTCTAATAAAACAAGTTTTAAAACCAGATAGAATAATGAAACAAGTTTTAAACCGGATAGAATAATGAAACTGGTATCAAAATGAAGGAAATTTATTTCTCTTCAAAATTACGAGGGTTGATTTATAAGGTCTCCACACGTACAAAACAAGTTTTAGACCAGATAGAATAATGAAACTGGTATGAAAAATGTATAAAAAAGGAAATTATATTTATCTTCAAAATTATTACGGTTGATAAGTAAGGTCTCCAATCCAGTAACAGAGGCTTGACATCAGATCGATGAAACTAGTATCAAAATGAAGTATATTTATTTATTTCCCTTAGAATTACAACGGTTGATTGATAACTAAGGTCTCCAAACTTATGACAATAGTTTTAGAATGAACAAAATTCATACCCAAATTACATCATTTTTTTTTTCAAAACAATTTTTTCATTTTCCTTTTTTTTACATATTATCCATGAGGATTTACCCTTTTTCCTAACGTTGTATCCACTATTTCATTACGGCCTTGAAGAATGGTTTTATTTTATTTTGGTTCCAATTGCAAACAGCAACTTCAGCTTCTGTGTCAGAAGGGAAATTTAGGCTTTTCACTATCTCTTTTCATTTAAATATTTGAAACCTAATCCGTAAACATACTCAATTAGCCCTGCATGAATATATGGCCATTCAATTTAGGAACAATTACTAAATTCATTTCACAAAAATAAGAAATCCGCGCGATAAACTGACACACGAAATCTCGATTATTGAAATAACTCAACATGGCACTCGACGACCCTTTTATTCGCCACGTAGTTAAAAACAGAAAACCGTACGACTATTGGAATGGTTATCAGCCCAAAATATTGAATCTGAGAGCCGAGTTCAAATTCCGATCTAGTTTTTGTGTTCACTTTCTCACAAATGCTCTTTGGTAAAGCATTAATCCACCTTTTTCCCCTCACTATGATGTAAACTGCAGCGTAGGCCGGGTTCTCTAATCTTGAGTGGTACATAGTCTAGAAGAACGAAAACTCTGGATTCCAGACTGTGTGAAAGCAATGGGGGACCTCAGGACAACTCACAGAAAAGTAATGTGTGGAGAGTAATAATCATCTACGTCTTGTAGGGACATGGTATTAAAAATATATTAGTACTCTATATAGTATAATTGTGTACACAAATAATAACAAGGTAGATTGATCTCTGCAAGTTTGTATGGAAATCAGTCTAGGAGAAAGAAAACGTTGAATACAAAACTGCAAAGAAGGCAACGGGAAACTACTGTAGCGATTTTCTCAATTCAGAGCTAATAAATAAGAGAAATGGAGAGAAATGAAGTAGTCATCAGCCCTTGGGGAATGAAGTGAAAATATTGGATAAGTAAGAACACTGGAGATGTAGATGTCTGAAAAAACAGCGCATATTCTATGCTATGAGGACCTCATTAGTAGACCTAGCATAGAAATAAATACAATATGGGAGCGGCTAATAATGAAAGAAAGAACTGTCAGCAAATCTTCAAACGCAGCAGCAGCAATCAAAACATGACAGACAGCAGCAGTAGCAACTCTAATCAGCAGACAGGTTAGGTTTAATGCTCCACTACAGCAAATTGTCCTATGGGATAATGGCCTAATGAATTAAAGTGTTGGTTCGTGAAGTTAGTGACATTGTAAGTTTAATTCTTGAGTAGTGTAGCGTGTACTTGGAATCAATGGAAACATGCGAGCAATAACTGGGCAGTACTAAAAACAAGAACTAGACGAGATATCCCTCGACAAGGATTCAGTTCAGAATTCCATATAGGTTATCACGATCGATATACAGCTGAGGAGACAGGAGGGCACAGTGACCTAAACGTTCTGATAAAAAGATGAGGACAATAGTCCGAATATATACAGTGTCTAGTATATATTCGGACTTGTTATCTAGAATTTATGACAAAATAACTCATAACAGAAAATCATACAGAATTGTTAATTAACTTAGAATATTCATATTCAATGTCTTTCTTTACGTTTGGATAAAAAACTATGTGCAGATATTTAAAAATTCTAGAGATCGATGACATCTTGAAAGCTTGAAATTGCCTTCGCCTGACTATATCTGGTCTTCGTGGCGAAGTTTTAGCGGGCTAAACCCTATGATCTTTCTACCCTGAAGAACGCAGGTCTGATTCCGACCGAAGAGCGCATTTTTTTCTTTTCTGTGTACGTGGCATGTTTTCCCTCTGTCTTTTCTACAAATATTTTCATTGCAATTGTTTTGACGAGCTTTACTCCTTAGTGTCTCGACTGCATTAATGTGAGTGTGCTACTAGATTGGCAGCTCGGTCTCACCGCTTTATTGTTGAACGAGCAAGATGCAAGCGCCTATTCTATTTAAATATTTTATCTACTCGCGTTTCTCGCCTGTGAAACTCCCTCCCGATTTCTTGCTCCTCTGGCAATTTCAATCTGCAAATATTTCAATGCAACGCCATTCGCTGTCTTCTGTCTTGCTGAACCCTGCTCTTTATTTGTCCTTTCTCCTCACTTCTCAACCAAGTCTTCTCTTTCATTATCTTTCATTGTCTTTCATTCTCTTTCACTCTATGTAACCGCTTGCACCCCAATGATATTATTGACTAACTTGGATTGAAATTACTATTCAGTTGTGCTTGACGCGGGAAGCTAATTGACACAGCTCGCAACCAAAACTGTCTCGAACTTAACTGACTGACGGCGCTCCCCAACGACTGGTATTGATGAAGCGTACACCGTGTGCGCTATTTGATTATAGGTGAAGACAGATACCCAAGGCTAGATAAATTCATTGGTCTGTCCCTCAAATTGCGTATGAATATGAACAGAAGAGTATGATTTAGGTTTAGTGAAAATAAGTTAAAATTCCTCTGTCGGAATTTCAGTCTAGCATCACGCGTCATGATTCACTCGCATGAGAATATACTAGACTGTTTCATACTAGACGCAATCGTCAGGCGGCCTGACGATTGCGTCTTGTATGAAACAGTCTGTCGCCTCTGATTGTTGACTTCAATGTTCACTTTTATATATATATATATATATACCAAAGTATATAATTGGTATACACGGAATGAATTCAATAACCAACAATTACTATTCTTAAAAGAGTGCTCAATACAAAGTAGAGCAGATATAATTATTTTTATAAAAATTTATAACATAAGTATGTTATAAAATCACTACAAAATGGTGTTGAAAAGAAAACCTTTTGTTTTCAACACCATCTGTGTAAGATCAGAGTGTGTTGAAACAAAATGGCTATTTTTTTAGTGATTTTATAACATACTTATGTTATAAATTTTTTATAAAATAATTATATATATATATATATATATATATATATATATATATATATATATAAACTATATATATATATATATAAACTATATATATATATATGTGTATATATATATATATATATATATATATATATATATATATATATATATATATATATATATATATGCATGTTTCATTAAAAACGACAGACAAGGTACTACAGTTGAGCTTTTTATTTAATTTTTCTTGTGTTCTGACAAGAGCTTTCTTTTCTGGACAAAGAGTGTGTAAGAACTGTCCGAATGTTCTGTGTTTCCGAGCGCTTTCGGCTATACCTTTAGCCATTATCAAGGATGGTTCAATTATCAGCTTAGTAGAGTGTGTGTTCTATGTATGTTCAGTGTGTGGTAGTGATGTTTTAGTTTCCGAATACGGTTAGCACATTGTGGCTTTGTTCATAGTTGATATTGTTAAGAGTTGGCTTTTTCTTTTTTATTATTAGAGCTTCCATTATTTTTAGTCTTTTTTTGCAAGTGGATGCAGTTAATATATTAGTGTTTTCTACTAGTATGTTCCTAATAGTGTCGGGTAAAAGAAAATTAAATAAAAAGCTCAACTGTAGTACCTTGTCTGTCGTTTTTAATGAAACATGCATAAAGGAAGGATTGCTGCCTAAATATATAAATATATATATATATATATATATATATATATATATATATATATAAACCATATATATATATATATAAACCATATATATATATATATAT